ATAACACCCATGAGGATGGAAGATTTCTTTGGCAAACAGAAGTTATATATCATCAATAAAATTGGCTCATCTCATTTTGATTTTGAAAGCCATAATACATGTGGAGATATCAAATTTACACTCAAGCTAGTTTATATTTTGACATCATTATTGGTCTTGTTGATTCACAAACTGTCCTTATATTCAGAATAACTGGTATACTCTAAGGCAATCCAAAATGAAAAATTCAGATATTAAACTGCTGAAATAAAAAAAAAAATAGAGTACAATTTAGTCACTCAAAATAGTGAAACATGCTAATTTAGCTGATGCACTTTGTTGCTTAGACCATGAAAATAATGAAATCAAGAGATCATTTCCAAATTTGCTAATTGGCCTTTCTGTTTTACTGACACTAGTTACATGCTATAATCAGCTGGCACTGGTCACTACAAGACATTTCCAGGGCAGCAATACATGATTGCAACCAATATCAGAAAAACGAACCTTAATTTTTTTCTTTGAGTAGTGGGAAATAAAACACATTTAATTGAAGATCTAAATCATTGCTCCAGCTCAAATGGTAAGGCACTGAATTTATAAGAATGAATAGTCGCTTTATAATAATTTCTTGCATTTCTTTATCTATATAATATGTCCACCTCTACTTTTGTCTCTTTTCTCCTTTAAATAAAAAAGAGCCTTCCCAAAGTTATATTGAGTCTCTTAGAAGAGGCTTTAATACACTAGGCCTAGTATGTCACATCTTTTTTATACAGACATAGCATCCAAGCTTCAGGGAGAAAATAGATCTAAAAAGATGGCTGCTTTCCCAAAGTGTCTGAATAGAAGAGAGATGGCAGCAACTCCAGGCTTAAACCCAGCAGGCCCAGGACGAAGCAGGACTTAAATGAATTAGATATTGATTGCTTGGGTATTTTTGAAATTTCCTTTAATCTGAATTGGTTCCCTAGACAAGCAATTGGATTTGGTCATTAAATGACAGTGAAAATAACTCTTGAAAATATAAAAAGCTCAGAGTATGTAGGTCCCTTATAGGTCATTTAGTGTAAGTTTCATCTCACTTCACATCTTCTAAAAGTAGGTGATTTCTCAGGCCACTGTTGAGCACCTCTTGATAGGGACATTAATTTATTAACTAGTGGGGTAATTTTTAAGGTTTAAAAACTAGGTCTTTTCACTTAGCTTTCATAATTCCAGAACTCCTATTATTGGAAAATTACAAGTCATTTCTGATAACTGCCCTCACATGGTTTGAAAAGGAATATGACTTTCAAAACATTTTAGCAACCAGCTTTGGGATTTTCATTCAGACATTGTAAAAAAGATGTACTGAAGTTGAATGTCTCTGAGTAATGCCTACATAAAACACCACGGGAAGGAAGTAGGCATGGATACAATATATGAAAATCCATATAAATAATATTAGTGCAATCTACATTTCCTTGATTAATTCAACCTTACACATAGTTATATATGTGCTGGATTAGTCACTATGCACCAAGAGATTTATCTGTACAACTGAAAGCAAGCAAACACTGCCATAACTGTTTTAAATTCTTACAATCTCATAACTCCTATTTTCTCCTTGTAAATTTTATTTCTTTTACCGTATTTGAATATCAGTCTGAAAAGCAAAGATATCCCCTTGCTGGGAAGAAAATCGTCCTTCATTTTATTCTGAGCAAAAAATGTCTGCAGTGAAACCAACACACACAGTTTCCTCTCTTCTGGTGCTTTTCAATGTGCTATATCATTTTCTGCTCACCTGAGCTTTAAAAGACACTTACCATTGTTATTTCCATTGAACTGATGAGGAAAGAGACCTCCAATCACTCAAAAAACTTGTTCAAGATCATACAACCAATAAGTTGAAGACCCAATATCCTAGATTCACACCCCCAACTGTGGCATTTCCTGGAATTCTGATACTTTTTTATAGCTAGTTATCACAGACACACACATGCACACATACACACACAAATTACAATTCATTTTTCAAATGTCATTAACACAATAGAATGTTATGCCCTAGTGCCTTATATGAAATAAATATAATCGGACAAGAGATAACCTGAGGTCCACAGACCGCTTCTACAGTCAGATATCAGAGCCACCCTCTTCATAATCATAATCCATTATATTTTTACTATTATTAAAAACACACAAGGCTTCCCAATAAGTAAGCAAGTATCACAGGAGGCCCTTCTAAAAAGCAAGCACTAGATACATTTTTATTTACAAGTATTATGTTTTCATTCTTAAATGAGCATATTTATGAAAATAGGTTACAATGTTGTTATGGTCCTTCTTTTTGATTAGCGTCTCACCTCTAAAATAAAGAATGTTACCAAATAACACACTTAAATGTAAACATGTAACTGCGAATGAAACATTTGACTGGAAGGCCAAGATCTGCTAGGCATTGCCCTTGGAAAACAGTCATCCTTTTTTGCTTTTAGGTGCATTAATTGTGCCTTGGTTACTTTCTCATTGTTGAGACACAATACCCTCAACATCTACAACCTAAGGAGGAAGTGTTTAGTTTGCGTCACAGTTTGTAGAGGTTTAAGTTCACGATTGGCTCCAAGGCAGGGCAGCATGGCAGAGAGGCATGGCAGAGAAGAAACAGCTCATAGCTTGGTGGCAAGAAGCAGAGACAGAGATCAAGGGAAGAGGAGTGAAACAAACCCATTCAGGTCACACCCTCAGTGACTCACCTCCAAGCAGGCTTTTCTTCCCATTATCACATTTATGGCTATAACCTCAGTATGGACTAATCCATTTGATGAGTATCACATCTTTGTGTTCCAACCACCTCCTAAAGACCCACCTCTAAGCACATTAGACTCTATGGGGACGTTCAGATATAAACCATAACAAAGGGAAACCTATCTTCACTGACCTTGGTTTTAAAAGAAACTCACATTGACGTTTCCAAGGAGTGGTTGGGAAGAACGGCTACATTCCAGCAGAGGGACAGACACACATATACCAAATCTCACACAACCCCTTCCTCCAAGACTAGCATTAGCTGACTATATGTGGTTGGTATCTCACCAAAGAAACTGTACAGTTTCACATCTTGTAGTCTACGTACATCCTCTACAAAATATTTGTGAATAAGTGACGTACTACTTTCATATTAAGTATTCCACCTAAAAAATTTTAAGGGGAGATGAGGAGAACAACTAACTTCTTTATTGCTTTAAGTAAACCTACTTCTACTGAATATTGTGCTAAGCAAGTTATATTCACTTGAATAAACTTCAGGGAGCTGGATCTTTTGCAAGTAGGAGGAAGACCAAGAGATGGACAGAGGAGAGGGAGAGGGCAAAGGACATGGCACATAGAAATAATAATTAAGATGTGTTGTATACATGAGCCAACTACCCGTGAGGAATGCAATCATTCTGTATTGCAAATACGTACAAATAAAAATAAGAATTAAAAACTGAGGGTTAAGTAGGAGAACCAATGTGTAAAGATATATGTCTTTACATTTTTTTTTTTTTTTTGGTTATGATGCAATTGGTTTTTCTTCTTATACTGATTGAATTTTCTTCTAACCTTCTAAATCCTTCAGAAAGGAAAAGCAAGAGAGTAGAGAATGCTTTTTGCTCTATTGGCATTGATTTATAGTGACTTCAAAGTGAAGTTTGCACATCTAAACCAATTTAAATGTACTAGACTCTGCTACTCTGAGTAAATTAAGTTACTTTTAATTTAAAGCCACATTCAGTGTACATAAACCTCTTAACACAAATCATCTTCTCAAATCTTACTTCTTGAAACTAAGAAAAAGAAATGCCAAAGACTAAAGGTCATTTTTAAAGTTTCACTGTGAGGCATATCATTAGACAGCTATTAAAATGCGAAAGCAAACCAAAGATAAATGAGGAGGAATAGAAAAACAACAAAGTATAACTGCATGGTGAGAGAATAACCCTTCTCTGAGGGTGTTTACAAAATCTTACTGTATCTACTGCATCCTTAACCACAGATGCTGCAAGGGTGGCTTAGTGCAATTTTATGTAACACGCCCTCACCTGGGAGTGGGACGAGAAAGAGAAGTGTCCCAAACGTTTGGGGCTGAGCTCCTTCTTTGGAAAAGTCCTCATCATCCACTGAGCTTGAGTATAACACTCTGAGCTCTGCGAATTATCACTTCTTTAACAATAAGCTGACAAAAGTAGCTTTTTATTCTGGAAACCACAATCATTGGCAGTTACAAAGAGATGCATGATTCAGGGGAGGATAAAGTTGATTATTCTGGACTCTAACATGACTCAGAAGAAAAGAACAGAAGAAGCTCCAGGGTTGGAGGACTGAGTGTCACGGGGGCAGGAGCATTTCATCAGAAGCTGGCCAAAGTCTGCAGGAAACGCAGAGACGTGCAGAAATGGCTGAGGAGCAAGTGGCTCTTCACAGATCCCTTTGCATACCATCCCTGAGTGTCTCATTCTCAGTCCACGTCTTTGCTCACCCCCCCAGGCAAACTCATTTGCTCCCAGGACCTCAAGGATTATCAGGGAGGTGTCCGAGCCTAATGAAGCACAGCGTGAATTAAAAACACCAGTGCCCCACAGGTCTTAAAAGGAGACAGTGTGACTAAATGGCTCGGAATGGTACAGATTGCATCCTTTTCATATCTCACATTCAACCTGTATTAGGAGTCCCGAACCTGCCCTGTCCTCATCCTCCCAGCCACACTTTCATGCAACTCTCCTATGACTTTGCACCTGGGTTGGTGAGTGTGCAATGCTGCCATCTCAGGCCTGCTTCCAAAAGGCAAATCTCATTGTGCCATTCTGCGTCCCCCTCTGTTTTCATGAAACCCTCAGCCTATATTCCCTAAAATGGTAGCTTCCCATGCGGAATCTCTAAATCCCTGGATTTTTCTTTTTTTTATTTAAGTGTCAGCTGGGGCCAGCAGGCTATACTCAATATTTCAAAAGGCTTAAGGATAATCTTGCATTTATCTGGGTATACTTGTCTAGATTATGGGCTGAAATGGTTGCAACTTAATGTGGTACCTGGTATTTCTCTAACTCATTGTGATGTATTCTCCTGGGATTCCGAGCCTCCTCCCATTCAGCAAAGCAAGTGTGAAGTGACATTGCGTAGTAACTTGAGTCCACAGATGAAACTAAGGTAAGACCCCTTACGGGTCTTATATTATTCATTGTCCTTTTTCCGGAACCTGCTGCTGAAATATTCTAAGTATTCAGTAGGTGTTTGCTTTCACGTAATTTTAGAAACTAGATTGATAGTTTTATAATTTTAATTAGATTGTGTTAATCACTACAAAATGAAAAGGTGCTAGAGAAGTTTAACTTAAATAATCGAGTCCAGTGCATTTGCTGAAAGAATGTTTGAAGACACATGAGTTAAGAGTAAAAAATACAATCAAGGATTTGGAGAAAGAAGGGGAAAGAAACTAGTATTTATGGAGTAACCTGTATGTGCCAGGCCCTGTACAAGATCCTTTGGATAAATAACTTCATTTCCTCTTCATCTCTGTGAGAGAGCATTTGCATTTATCAGATGTAAACAAAGTAAGATCCAGGATCCAGAGAGATTATGATAAGCCATGTGCCTAGTGGGGTACTGTTTTGCTTGTTTTTCGTCTGCAAATTACAGATGGCCAGGAAGTGAGGCTTTTTTCCTGTTCTTTCTTATATTCTATTCTTATCTGAGTCTTTAAGCCTATTTAAAAAAAACAAACAGATTATTAGCCATTCATTTCATTTATCTATTATCTTTATCAAAAGTTTCAGTGTATTGTGTTCTGGGATGTGTGCCAATTCTACATATACTTATGCATTTAAGTAGATGTGTTTACATAGATATTGAACTGAATGATAGGGATGATAGCTTACTGCTCCTGAAAAAAGGGAAAGCAGTTCCTTTTAACAAAAGGCCATGTAGAAATTCTCTCTGAGGTCTTCACCTCACATATTTGTGCCTGGGACCCTCACTTTTTCCGGTGGAATGGAAATAATGTCATCCCCTCACCGGTAAATCTAGGAGATGATGAATGATAGAGAACATATTATATGAACACCCTGAGTGATTTCCTACTCTTAGACCAACATGGGAGCCCCTACACATGCGTGGTTATTGTGGCTTGACTAATATGGGGTTTGCCGTAAGTACACCCTCCCTATATATTTTGGAGGCTTACTGAAATGTTTAGGCTATCTCAATAATGGTATTTTATATTAATGATATGTTAAGACATTAATTTAGGATGAAGTGACTTCTAGGATATGGAGCCACTAGAAAGTTAACATTACATATGGAGCTCCACTTATCTCTCTACTATGTAATGCTACCCCAGAATGATGATCCATCTCTCTTGGAGCTTTAAAATATGTTGGCTGGTATAGATTGTGATGGTAAAAGACTAAGTGAGCAATGTTAAAATGTCTTGAAAACAGAAAAAATAGAGATATGAGTAAACCATGTTTTGCTGGGTTAGCAAAGCATGATTTGCCTGGGTAGTTAATTACATGAAGTGTTTGGTGTGGGTATGTATGTTACACTCAAAATTGTCTCTGGTCTCAAGTCACCTCATCTCAGAACTCCTTTACAAAATTTGCCAAAAAAAAGACAAAACAAAAAACTTGCTCATGTGAATTTGCCAGTTCAAGGTTCTTAGACTTTTCTAACAATAAATCCTTACCATTTTTATAATAAGAAAACATTACGGCATTTGACCAAATTTGGCAACATCACTGTCAGTATTCAGATTTTCCCTGAACCCTGTAGCTAATACTTTTAGAAAACTATAGAGATTTTTCTTCTCTATTTCTCCTAGTAAAAATAACATGATTCAATGATTCACGGAAGACTGAGTAATCAAAATCCATGCATGTTCTCCAAATCTCATGTACTTAATAGTTTAAGTACTAGCAGCTAACGAAGTAAAAACCTTGTTTGAATCTGTTTATTTTCCATCTTTTATCCATCTAATGGCTGAAAAAATTGTGAGCCAGTTGACACACAAATGAAGCAACAGGACAGAAATGGAACTTAGTCTTGCAGATCTGGGTGCAAATCCCAGCTCTACAGCTTAAAAGAGTCACCACCTTTTTATTATTTACTTTGAAAGACTGTTGTGAGAAAGAGTGTGTGAGAATTAAAGCAAGTAGTACATTCAGAGTGCACAGAAGATCTTATTGAAAGTTGGTTCTTCTTTCCCTTCTTTCCCCTTATAAAGCAGTCCTGTGTCTATACATTCACACTACACCATATTTATGAACACTGACACCTTCCATCTGTCTTAGTCTCTCTCTATCTCTGTCCGTCTCTGTCTCTCTGCCTCTCCTCCCCACTCTCTCCCTATTCTGTCTGGAGCATAGCGTGTGCTGGGAGAACCCAGAGCCGGGTACATGCTAAGCAAGTGTCTGATCACTAAGCTATGCCCTCAGCCTTAATATTGATCTTCTTTTAACATACTGAACATGGTAAGGTCACAATGACAAGTCACATTATCAGCTGTTTGCATTATATGCAGGAATATAATTTTCACAATTAGGAAATGAAGAACACTGCACAGAATGAAGCTATAGACTTCTCCACTGTTGAGGTTTTCAATTGAAAAACACCCTGTAAGCAGCTGCCTCAATTGTTACCTTTTAGGACTGGGAAAGAACAGTGGGAGAATCACTTACTCCCAGTTAGAAGGGCGCCCTGCCTGACACAGCACAAATAGTTGAGATTATGAACACGTGGTGCCTCCATCCCCTCCATCCCCTCCTCTCCCAAGACCTAACCTGTTAATCAATAGTACTTTTTACATTTGGCTCAAGAGAGCAAAAACCAATACCTTCCCAAACACAACATGATTCTGACTTTTTTCTCTCTTTCTTGTCTCGTAGAAATTGTGCTCTGTGCTCTGGCATGTTTGCTCTTCTATTATTTTGAGATTGTGTATACACTCTTCTACATGTAAGGCTTCTCAATCAAAGTATGCAAGGATCCAAGCTGTGTGCTGGAAATATCCTTTGATGTGTCTTAAACTCTGCAGTAAGGGCCAACTTATTTCTTTCACTGATTTCATCTGACTTATTTTATTCTAATATTACTAATCCTTTATTTTATGACATTTATTTTGTTAAAATGTAATAGTATCAAGGACCCAATAATTTAACATTTTCTACAGCAAAATCACACAAATGATCTCTTTCCTTTTCTCCTCCCTCTGTATCTCTTATTTCTCTTTTTCCTCTCCTCTGTGATAACAAATATAAATGCCTAATGTAAAGAATTTCCATCTTTGCTAGGCTTGGAGGAGTCCAGACAAAGTACTTGAGTTCCAAGCCAGTGGGGGCCATTGGCTTCAATTGTCAGCACATCCAGATACTTGAGTTCAAAGTTATCCCTCTCAAGGAAAAGCACTCTCTTTCACAGAGTATCCAGTAAGATACAAAGACTGATGAGTTATTAGAATACTCATTCCATCTTTACAAATGGAGAAGCACTCATTTCTATCTCTAAATCTATACATGTATATTTAGAATTAATACAGATGCTATATAGATATTATCATATAAATTTAAAAATTAAATAATTTAATTAGTAAACAATGACCCACATCACAAGGATGAACCCTGCCACAACAATTAATTCAGCAGACGAAGCTTAATACAGTACAAGCTAACAAATGCTTCTTGGCAGTCTAGCAGTCCATTATATTTAGGCACACTTAAAGATGTTCTTTGCTAATAATATAAAAATATTTCTAAGCATTTTTCTCTTACTTCCTAGGAAGTCGTAAACTACATCTTCAAGGTAATATAACAATTACCCAATCTCTTTTCATAATAGATTTATCAGTCTATATTTTGTTCACTGTAACATTGGCTAGCTGTGTTTCCTGAGACAAGTCATGTCTCTCAAGATACTCAGTGTCCTCAGGTCTAGATTGAAGCTGCAATGCAGTATCTGACCCAAATCCATGGCAAAGTCTGTGTTCTTGCTTCACAGCAGTTGCATTACCCAGACACATCCAGAAGTGCACTTTACCAACCTTGTAGCAATGCCCAAGCCAGTCAAGTGGACAAGCCTAACCACCAGGAATGATTCTGGAACTATAATAAGACAGCAAATAGGTGGGGCAGGAGGAAGGGGTGGGAGAGAGAAGGACACCTGTCAAGCAAATTTTTATGCATTATTAATTTTTCCCAATTTGGTCTGCCTCTGTACGCTAAAGATATCAATAACTATTCATTAAGATCTTGCTATTTAAAAGACAATAGATTTAACAGATATTGTTGGCCAGATTTTACAAATGAAAGAACAAACGTAATTAACCTACCTCAAATTGCCTAGCTAATAAGACCAGTGACTGCTGCCTCTTCCGGTCTTTCACGGTCATTTTAAGTCCTTGTATGAGTATCATATCATCTTATCCATACCTCTTCTCCATTTCTTGGCATTAAACTTTCTAAAGTACTTCCTCATTTAATCCCCAAAGCTTAGTATCATGCCCAGAATGTAGGAAGTCCTCTCTATCTGTTGAAATAACTCAAACAGCAGAAGCTAGCTTTTTTTATGAAGGGTACAGTATAGGTATTTTTATACAGAAAAAAAACTCCAAAGAACCTATGTACATATTGCTGAATGCCCTAAAGATCTAGTCCTTGTAGTAAAGTATTTTTTCCCTAGGATGAGCATTGATTTATCAGTGAATAGTTTATTTATTTGTTTATTTATTTATTTATTTATTTTTGGTATTGGAAATCAAACTGAGGACCTTGCACTTGCCAGGCAGGCACTTATGCCACCGAGCTATATCCCCAGCCCTGAGCACTGATTTATCAGATACATCCATAAACTGATGGTGAGGGAAGTTTGGGCATCTTTGGTTCCTAGACCTAGATATTTCATTGTGTGTACACTTTATAATCAGAGAAGTTTTTCTTTGTTTTAAATATGCCATAATTCTTATGCAAATGGATAACCAATTTTGGTCTATACTACCCTATATTTTCCCCCTCAACACTAATTATATTATAAAAGACAAAGATTACACAAAGTTAATTTTAGAATCAACCCCCATATTATCATAACTAGATTTTATCATAACATTCCACTCTATTTGCTTTATAACATATACTTCCCTGTATTTATCTCATCAGCCATCAACCCATATTATTTGTTGATGCATTAAATTGCAAAAATCTATTTCTTCCAAATTCTTCAACATGCACACTTATGCTATATTATCTTTCACAGTAACATGAAGTCCTTGCCTGAAATTACTTTTGAATCTCAGAATAAAAATCCTTATACTAAGGGTTTTTTCTTTGCTATTGAAATTGAGACCATAAAACTACCAATTACTGCCTAATCGAAAAGAATGCAAGGTTCTAGTAAGCAGTCCACTAGAAAGAAAGAATTAAACATGATCAGATACATAAAACTGTGTTAAGTAAATGCTGCATAAAATTAAATTCTGGCATTTGTTCTTCATTCAAGGATACTATGATAATAATACTAGCAATTGCCTTATAACAGTGTGTGGATAACCGATGGCACAGCAAATTGTATCATTACAAGTCCATTCCTGGATACAGGTCTACAAGGTTTCTGTAGGGAAGGCAACCATGCCATTATGCGTTCTAGGTCAAGTGTCTGACAAGGACGTAACTGCAGGTCTGTTCTATCCACTTGCTAGTTAGATGCCAGTTCAGAGTTGGCACAGAGCCACGCTAGGAAATAAGACAAACAGTAATTGTCAAAGTTAATGATCTAAATTAATTAGAGCAAATGTAGCAGTTGTTTCCAAGTTGTTTAGCAAAATCAAAGAAAAAATTGTGGGGTTTTTTTGGGTGTTTTTTTTTTGGGGGGGTTTGTCTTTTTTTTGTTTGTTTGTTTGTTTTCCGGTACCGGGAATCGAACTCACGATCTCATGCTTGCCAGCCAGGAGCTGTGCCACTGAGCTAAATCCCCAGCCCCAGAAAAAATTATTTAACCCTTGTAGTAATCATGTTTCAGTCTTAAATTTTGGTGCTACATTTCCTACCTCACTGCCACCCTGGTTGGACATACTCCTTTCCCTTAGAAATTTCTAGCACTCATTCACTGTATCATGCAAAGCACAAAGTTTATTTCTTCTCTGAAGGCTTCTCAGTTTTTTTCCCAGCAAAGGTGTTGCCTCTGTTCAGTTCTCATAGCAAGTGCTAATGCACCAATTATTGTATTTACAATTTGATTTATACTAAATTCATTACATGTATATGTGTCACATTATCAGTACACTACACCTTCATCACTTTAGAAAAATGCCAGTCATGATACTTGGATTCTACTAGGTGCTCTGCGGTTGTGGAATAAATTATAGTTAAAGCCTAATTCTCTTATTTTCAAGCTAGCTAGTAAAACGGGACATTCTGTGTTACTTCTGTGATTCTAACAGCCAATTACAGTGCAAAAAAAATGGCAGGTTTGCAAAAGATGGTAAGACAAGCTTTGATACTGAACTTCAAACAAAACAACACAAGATCTGTCTCTTATAAGGTGCAAAATTAATGGATCCTAATTGAATCACAAATCTTCATTGAAATGTGAGGCTGTTTAAGTGGGGTTGTTATCTTGACAAGCATATTTTAAAAGGGACCTCACCTACGTTTTACAGAATAGCAAAAATATTTTACAAAAGATGACTTGCTTTTGTGTCATGCCGTTCTATGGCTTGAGTATACGTGTTTTCTATATTCTTAGTTTTATCTCACATATTCTACTTCCTACTCTTCTTTAAAAAGGAAGCTTTGATGACATGGAAAGCATGCTCATTTTGCTCATCATCCCCAGGGAAGTGGCACTACGGGTCTCTGCCATGTTTGGCAATTTCTTTCCCTACATCAATTTATCAGAACAGGTTCCCTAGCATGACAGTGACACTGCTTGCATTTCCCCAGCAAATTTATCAGCTCCTGTCATTATAAATCTGAATCTGGATATTTTTAGCTGGACTAGGAAGAAAACAGTTCTCCGGAGACTCAATGTCAAGGCTGCTCTATGAATCAGCCCAGCGAGGGATGGAGAGCTGCAATCTCAGCCATTGTGCTTTTTTTTTTCCTAAAGCAAGGATAACCTCTTTGGCTCTTTGCCAGAAATGCTTTGTAGGTTGCTCCAGCTCAGGGGGCCGGAGCAGAGTTCTGTCTCCATTTGGCCACGTACCACACAGCTGAACCACTCTGTAGACATTTCCCTGACTGATGACTGCTCAGGTGAGGGGAAAACCCTCCGAAGGGAAGATGAGGAGGCCTCAAAGAGCAGCTCTCCACACTCCAGTGTAAATGAAGTGCGCGAGGCAGACACGTATCTCTAGAGGGAAAAGTCAGCCCCCAATGCATGTCAGTCTGGAACTCTCTTATTTTTACAGCTATTTCTTCCCAACTTTCTCAATGAGCAGAGGAAGACAGAAATTACAGCATTCTCACAAAATTCCTCCAACTTGACAAATGAGCAAAATATAACCGTGATGTTAATAAGAGAATTGCTGTCACTGAATGCAATGTACGGAATTATTCTAATCACTCTTCTTTGCCATGACTCAGAGTTGAGGCAATTTCAAGAAAAATCAGTTTGGAAAGTGAGTTTTCACAGTATCAGTTCTTCATATTTGTGGCACTTTTTCCTTGGTTACTAAAACACTACCCTTTCCTGGACAGAACAAAATTCCCAAAGCTGATAAAATGTAAGTTTGCAGAAGCAGTAAAAGCACAGTGTGCCTTTGACTTCTCTGGAATCATCACTGAAGTGGAAAGCATATGCCATAAGGTTGGAAAACATATTATATAATTTTGGGTTTAACTTATACCAAATGATAGGGATTATTTCCAGTTAATCAGGGAAAACAGGAAGCCCCTCTCCAGATTAAAAAAACCCTTAAAAATTAGGAAAAGTAAGAACAGTAAAGAATATTAGCAAAAGCTGACTAACAGGCTAACTCTGCTTTTTCAGGAGTGAGGACAGACTACAGTAAGAGCCATATTGAACTGTTCCGACTGTCAGTTGGCCAAACTCTCTAATTCTTAGCAGTTTGTTTTACCATCCTTGGGGAAAAATAGCAATAGAAAACTCTTTCTCTGTTGACTAATTTGAAGATAGAGTACTCCTTTCAGTTTTGTTCCCATGCTCACCCCTATATTTTCAAAATGATATGATTTACTGTCTCTGAAAGACTTCATCAAACATGAAGAAGAATACCTATACTATAAAGATGCATGGGAATGTATTCATTTATGTTTTTACTTTTTGGTACTGAAGAATGAACCCAGAGGTACTTTATTACTTGGCTACATACGCATCTCTTTTTATTTTGAGGCTGCATTGCACTAAGTTGCCCAGACTAGCCTTGAACTTCCACTCTGCCTACCTCAGTCTCCCATCCAGCTGGGACTATAGGCACGAGCCATCATGCCCAACACACATGGAAACTTTTTAGAGACAATTCCAAGGAACCCCACTCACACTGACTGGTGTGTGTAACTCTTCGCTCTTTGTTGATAGTTTCTCTTATAGAAACTTGTCTTTTCTATTCATTCTCCTTCTTGCAGTAAGGAATGTCTCTTTTCTATCTTGAATTTCACAAAGACTGTAAGAGCACCCTGAAGATTAAATCTGTCTGTTTACTTCCTCATTACAAACCTTTATCCACTTAAGAAACATTCGTTATATAGCACTAGAGTATGGGGACAGAGTGGTAATCGAGATAGGGCAAAGGGGAAAGATTCAGTGTAGTGAAGAGAGAGAATAAATGGCTAATGGATAAAGAAAGGCCTACACCCAATAATACATGAGGAATCATATGTGACTTCTAGTTGTCTTGAACAGCTGCCTTGATCCTATAAGAAGTTAGAGGAAAAATAAATTTGAGGATAGAAAATAAGAGCTCCTGTTTGTATGGATTAACTTTGGAATATCTTAAATAACACAGTATTTAATGTGCTTGAAAATATGAGCCCACAGTCTTTATTGGACTGCCAAAAAAGGGTACAAGGTACCAAGAGAATCTGAACTCCTGACATTCGGTGCAGCCAGAGCTGAGAGAAATTGATAGAGAACCCAAAGTACAGTGCTCCAATAATAAAAAAAAATTAAGCTAAGGAAGAGATACTAAAAAATGGAAAGTAAAAGCTAATAATTTCAAAGCAATTACAGGAAAAATGTGGCACAGGAAATCAGGAGAAGTTCTGTTTCAAGGAGGAAGTGGAAAATCCAGTGAAATAGAAAGTCATGTTTGGAAATACAAAGGGAGTGTTTTCCCTTTCATGATTTCATTTCATTTGTATTGACAGAGTCAAATTGAATGGGATGAAAAGTAAATGGGAGGTAAAGAACTAGAAGTGATCAATGTAGATAACTCTTTTCAAGAGGTTTAGTTGAGAGGTGGCAGAAAAAATGGAGTAGGACATGGAGCTACGAAGTATTTCATTAACATGGAAAGATATTTAGTACAACGCAGCCTTAGCTTCCTTATTTATAACACAGGTATAATCATAAGCCTTAACTTGTAAGTTTGTCATTACTTTTGAAGAAAATAATGTGTATGAAATGCTTAGCACAGTGTCTGACATATACCTAGTAAGTACTAAACATAAGCAATTATTACCAACATCATTTATTACACCTTCTTTGGATCTGTGCTCTGATTCTAGCTATATATCTTCATAGCTGTTTTTAATGTGTCTTTTATAGCTAGAAAACATATAACAACCATTTAATAGATACCTTTCTTTGACTCAAACTGCACTGAATTGAGTTGAATGAAAAAAGGGAAAAAATATAGGCAATGCATATTAAGAATGAAATGAGTCATAAGAATTTCACAGGAAGGGAAAATCCTCCCAAGAGGTTTGGCTCAAATCTGACCTTGTCCATGGTCATCCAGTGACAGCATACCCTGATAGGGCAGTGAAGCATCTCCTCCTGGCATGAATCACAATGCAGACAGCAAGTCACCTCTCATTTAGATTTATGAATGTCATATTCTTTATTGACTCTCCAAAGAGTTCCTAATCAGAAAGATTCCAAACAGGTTTCAACCATCTCATTAGAACACAGGAAATTGGATAAAGAGGATAACCTCTGAAATCCTCCCTTAGTCATTGATCTTTGGGAAATTAGCCCTCTATGGTTTAGATCACTCTGCAGATTATAAACATGTCCAATAAATATGACCTCCATCTAGATTTGCCCAGCAATTGCAATAGCATTTGGCTGCAGAGAAAATGCCTGCCAAAATCCAAACAGCTGTAGCAGGTGCTGTAAATCAATGCAGGATACGTATATGGTTCTGTATTCCACTGGGGCTCAAATCCTTCCAAGTAGATTATCTGCAAAGATTTCAGGGTGGCAGAGTGGCATTGTGAACACACAACTCCCACATCCATTTTCTTCCCATTTACTGAGTGTCAGAGTTGCCAAGCAAGAAAACTATATTGTTCAATAAGGAAAAGCTCTATAGCAAAGCTAGAAGACACATTTCAGTAAAAAAGAGCATTCAAGGAAAATGAAAATAGTAACAGAAGAAAGTGAAAAGATAAAATGCTTAAGTAAATAACTTAACCTATATTTTCTTTCTAAAAATATATACTACACACACACACATATGTATATGTTTAAATGTATATGCATGCATGTACACACCAATTTCACTTGCCTAAGCCTGTATGCCATTATAGACATATGCAGTGATAAGTCAGAAAGGAACCCTTTTCACATGGATTCACAACACTCCTTAAGCAGTAGTTCTAGGTTTTCAAGGCATGCCAGCAAATTGATCAGCATTAATGTAGTCAAAGTATATCTTTATGTGTTGACTGGACCTAAGCAACAAGAGGGTGGGTGCACACAATTCAGCCAGATGGCAAAGATAGTTAAAAGGATGTCTGAGCTCAGGGGATATAGATTTTTCTTCATAATCCTCTTTAAATCAAAAACAACAGCAAAGCTGAATAATATAAGAGAGGGTTAACTAGTAAATTATTTCTATCCTTTTATAAGTAAAAAGCACAAGGTGTTCAGTTTAGCACACAATTATGCAAACATGAGTTAGATTCCTATTTATTCTATCTCCAGAGAAGCAATATAGCATGGAATAAACTGCATTAATTTCGATCCCAAATGTAATCTTATAGGACTCTTATTTCTTCTAATTTAAACAGAAAAAAATCAGGGCTGTTATATAGATTTATCAGGCTAGTACACAAGCAAATATGTCAGGCCTGAGGGGTCAGTGGGTTCTTAAATAGAGTCTAGGACTGTTTCTTCCTTTAGAAAGGGATCACTTTTTCTAATATTCATGCCATCGCCCTCTGGGTTAGTGGTACACTCAAAGTACCTGCCTTTCAGAGTTGACGTAATCCCAAAGCTTGGATGTATCACCTCTCATTGCAGTGCCAAGTACATCATAGACAGTCTCTGAATATAGAGATGGTTTTTATCAGTTTTTAAAATCTAGTCATTTGATTTTTCAAGGTCAGTTAGATATCAATCACCACCCCACATCAGCTACAACTTGTTTCTGTCTTTTTCGATAGGGAATTTTTAACTCCCGTGTACACATGTACATGTGGTCCTCCGTACACAACAGCCACAGAGTCTCCATGTCCATCTCTTCTCTTTGCATTCTCTACCCATCTACCGCCAAGGTTAAAAAATACTAATAAATGGGTGAGCGCTAATTTGGGTGGGCACATACACTGTTACAGAGCGCTTCTCTGATCTAGAGGATAACAAAAACTGCCAGTGAAACTTGGGTTTAATAAGGAGTAAATGCTATCAGACAAAACTGACGAATTGTTCAGGCAATTATAAAATGCAGCAGGATGATCACACATGATGAAATCAGTCACTTGGATATGAGAAGAGGGTGTTCATAGAGGGAACTTGATGAAAAATGGCCAAAACTCCCCAAAAGGTTAGAGAATAAAATAACAGCCATTACTTTGGGGGTGAGGTAGTAGAGAGAAACTCCACAGATGTCTGTATTAGCCTTCTCTTCTGTTTATCTACTTTTATTAATGATCTTCAGAATGTAGTAAACAGTGTGCTAATGAAATCTGCAGATGACAATAAGCTAGGAAATGCTGCAGAGCATTGACAAGGACAGAGAAATAATACATATGGTCTGGGAGGAGTTGCAGATCTTGGGATCAAATAACAAAATGACAGTCAGATTGGGAAGAGGCCAGCTTCTCCATGAGGGAGAATGAACGAAAACACAGATATACAGAGAAACAGGGAGAGATCCCAAGAAGAAGTACTTAGGAAAGGGTCTTTTGGAGGAAAACTGAGGCTAGAAGGTGTTGCCATCTACGTCAG